AGTCAAAAATTGGACAAGTGCCATGTACGTAGAGTGTTGCTTCCTAAAACCATACTGGTGTGCATATAGAATATTATTTTTGTCCAAATGTTGAATTAATCTTGTGTAAACAAGATTCTTGAGTATCTTGAGTTCTTGCTCACGAATGAGGGGAAGATGGAGCGGGAGATCAATAGGCGGATTGGTGCAGCTTTTGCTGTGAAGCGTGCGCTGTAGCTGTTTCAAACTGACTGACACAGTAAACTGTGTTTATGAGCGCATCTGTCAACGCATCACTTCTGCCAAAAACAAATTCGGATCTTTTGTGGCTTATAAAACTAGATATCTCAGATATCACTCAACTGATCTAAATTGAAATTGACTCTTAGTTTGCTGTTCTTACTGTTAATATGTTATATAAACAAATAGATCCTAATTCCAAATGCTCACTTACATTTTCTCGTTATCCGTTCAAATTTATGTATTGTCTAAAAATCTGAAAAAATCTAACATGTTCTCAATTTAAACGAAAATATGAAATATAAATTTAAGCAAACAATGGTTCTAAATGATTTTAATAAAGGTTATCAAATCAGTGTCTGTGCCTGTAGTGTTTTTAAATGTCCAGCAGGTGTCAATATTCAGTGACACAGAATGGACAAGTATCAATACAGTTTGCCAATGTGTCAGAACGTTTCATGACGCCTCATGAACCCATCACTGGTCAGACCCTTTGCTGTGACGTTCAAGTTTAACTCACATGCTGTTCATTTCTTCCGATCCTCCTTGAGATGGTTCTGCTCCTTTACTGGAGTCCAGCTGTGTTTAATTATGCTGATTGGACTTGATTAGGAAAGGAACTCACCTGTCTACAGTATATAAGAGCTTACAGCTCACAGTGGATGTCAGAGCAAACCAGAATGTTGAGAAACTGCCCAATTCGTTCAGACACAGAGTTTTGGCAAGGCACAGATCTGGCCAAGATTATAGTAGAATTTCTGCAGCATTCAAGGTAGACAAGCTTTATTCACAGTGGCCTCAATAATCCATAAATGGAAGAAGTTTGGGACGACCACAACTCTTCCTAAACCTGGCCGTCTAGCCAAACGGAGCAATGGTGGGAAAAGAGCCTTGGTGAGAGAGGTAAAGAAGAGCCCAAAGATCACTGTGACTGAGCAAAGTATCAACTATTACTGCAACCCTCCACCGGTCGGGGCTTTATGGCAGAGTGGCCCGACGGAAGCCTCTCCTCAGTGTAAGATATATGAAAGCCTGCATAGAGTTTGCCAAAAAATGTTTCTATCTAAGGAAAACCAGTTGATTGCATCGACTCATTGACTTGAATGCAATCCCTCACACTAAGCATGCTTAGTCCCAGACTATGAGAAAGAAGATTCTCTGGTCTGATGAGACCAAGATTCCATGCAGTACCTCTGTGGACCCTCTGTTGATGACCTCCGATCTAAAGACTAATTAATAACAGAACGTGAAAAGCAGCTCCAGATGATCTGAGCGCGTGGTGATGTCATCGCTTCTGTTCCAATTGATCCATATTTATACGGTCTGCTCCTGTTCTCCCCATACTTTCCTGTGTTCTTCTCAAGATCGTACTTGGAGAGGACAGAAGTTCATACTCGCGTTCTTGTGAATTGAGAAACGACAGTGGCTTACCGATTTCTGTGAAGGGCACGACTTCTAGCCTCGGAGGCGTGTCTCTGCAGGAACAGCTGGAGTTTGCGAGGGTCACAGCTGGTGGGGATAATGAAGTGCCCCATCTCATGGAGGCTAGGTGCAGAGCGGTCACTGCAAAGACAGAAACAGTAATGCTAAGGAGGCTCAGGAAACCAATCACACAATCTGTTTAAAAGGATCCTCAATAGTTTTTTATTAGATCCGATCTAATTCTGATGCACAAGCAGATTTACAAACTGAAACAGGAATATATAACATTCACCCTTTTAGGTTCATTAACAAATATGTGAACAAATGGTTGTAATATTTTACCAAAGCCAAACTTTTTAACCTGTTTTTTTCTGATCAACTTTAAACAGTAAAGTAGTCTGACAGCAGACAAGCTATTTTGTGCCTTTCAGGCTAGAAATGCAGATGTTATAAACTTATAAACAGGCTCACGAAGGTTCCACAAACATTTGTGAAAGACGTTGTTTTGATCTGAATACTTCCAATCAGCAAGGACACTTAAAGGGATAGTTCGGTATTTTTGACATGAATCTGTATGGCATCCCGATC